CCTGCTCTGACACACCTTGGCTCATGGTTCATCTCTTGGCTTTTTAACTCTGTCTGGGGCTGTGGCTTTTTCCTCTGCTCCCACCTGCTGTGGGGGGAAGTGGGAATGGCTGGGAGCTGTTTCCTGTGCAGGGAGGACTCTTTGGTGTGGGTTTGAGTGTGCTGTGGCCTCTTTTGTTTCTGCAGAGACCTCAACAGGCAAGTTCTCAGGGTCACAGGGAGTTTTGGGTTTGGTTCTATGGATTTCTGAGGACACACAGCTCTGCAAGCACGAAAAGTTTTGTCTCTGTTGTCTCCTACTACTGAAAGAACCAGAACCTGGGTATAAATTCTGAGTTTCCCAAAAAGCAGTTCCTTTCATGGTGCCTGGTCCCTCCAAAACAGGTGTATTCAGGAAAATAAAGCTATTTATACTCATCCCATCACTCTTTTTCCTTCTCTGGAGCTGTTAGCAAGCCCCAATTTCAGCTGTTGCCGAGATGAAGGGTAATGCTGGCATTAAAATGCAATGCTGGTGGTGGGAGAAGGGTCATAAAGCACACATTTATCTAGCTTTAGACAAACTACAGTCAGTCATCCCCAGCTCAAGGTGCTCTTGCCAAAAATTGCAAAAATTAAAATGAAACAGCCAGAGAAACAGAAATCTCCCGTTTCTTCTGAAAAAAAATATAAAAAAATTAAATCCAATCTATTTGTAAAATCCCCAGGCTACACAAATAACTTGCCTTTCATTTGTTACTGAGGGGATGGCAGGCCCTGTGTTCCCTCAGACCGCTGAAGTGTGAAGAAAATTAGTATCTCACATTTACGGGATTACACTCGGAATATTTTCTCCACAGGCAAATATTTCTTAGCTAACAAATATTCTAAGCAGTATTTATTTTTTATACGGTCACACTTAATGGAGCTGATCTGGGAGATGATCTGGTGGTACAGATGATTTAAAGAGACCGAGTGGTTTTATAGCTTCCTGGAGGGATTCTGGCTGTTTAAGAGACAACATCTTGTTTATTACAGCCAAATTTTGCCTTTGCTGTTGTGCAAACCCCGTGGCAGTTTGCAGTACAAACACAAAGAGCTGATTGAGGTTTTATGGGAAGTTTTTGGCTCCCAGGTTCACCAAAGAGCTGTTTGAAGGAGGGGTTGTAACAGGAAGATCTAACAAGGTGTGGGATGTGACCGAAAAGGAACTTGGATTGGATTTCTGGTCCGAAGTTGGAATGGTGATCCCGAAACTCCCTCCTCACACCTTCAGACCTTAGTGAATCTTCAAAGGCTTTAAATGCTGGAGGTGATTGGTGCTGATATTCCTGAAATACCTGTAGCTGTGCCTGTGCCCAGGCATGGACTGGCTCCAGTTCAGAGCACTGGGCAAGGTTGCTGCTGTATTCCAAAGGAAGTGCAAACAGCTGGATCCAGGGGCTCAGCATTCCGTGTGTCCCAGAGCAAACTCCCCATGTTCCAGTGGGATCTGGCTCCCTGCTAAGCCCAGGGGTGTCTGTCAGCAGTGGAAAACATGGATAATTTCAGTCCTCTCCCTCAGGATTTCAAACCCAAGGGGTGACTTGACCACCTTACACCGGTACATGGAGCCGGAGTGGGAAGCATCCATACCTGGGAGTCCCATGTGCCTCAGGAAGTCCTAAAGCCCCAAACACTATCAGGAGACACTGGATAACCTTTTTACACCCCTGCCCGTGCACTTTTTGGCCACAGCCAGACAGGGCAGGGTGGGAAATGTGCCCTGGATGGTCCCGCTGGAGCTCTCACCTGTGACTAACACAAGGTTTAGGTTGGACACCAATACCTTGGTTGACACCCTGGCTTCATTCTTCTCATGTGGAAGCTGGTCTTTTGCCATTATCACATTCCCTTTGACTTCTTTTAGGTTGGACATCAGGAGGAATTTCTTCACAAAAAGGGTTGTCAGGCATTGGGATGGGCCAGGTGGAGTCCCCATCCCTGGAGGTGTCCAGGGAACAACTGGACGTGGCACTCAGTGCTCTGGGCTGGGGGACAAGGTGGGAATTGGGCAGAGGTTGGGTTTGAAAGCTCTGGGAGGCGTTTTTCCAACCTCAGTGATTCTGGGATTCTCAGCTCTGTGCTGGAAGCACCAGATCCTCCCTCCCTTTCACTAACCTGTGCCTTGAAATCTGTTTTCTTAGGAATGATATGGATACAGATATAAGCAGTTGACATCAGTTCTGAGAATATTTTTCTTGTAGGTGGAACTATTATTCCTCCTTGGAGCTGTAACTGTGCACAGTCAGTGATTTGCTATGCTAATGAGTTGCTGAAGGAAAAATGGGAATTATTCTGGCTGTGAGATCCCCTCAGTCCATGTGGTTTAAAAAGACTAAAGGGCAGCAGAAGACAAGCAATTCCAGAAAGCATTTGTGCTGAAAGTAATGAGAGAGGCAGGAGGCTACAGATTTAGAGGGAAATATTCCTGGAAGATTTCCCCCCCTGTAATTTGTTGTTCCAGTGCTGGTTGCACTGTTTGCTGAGGTGCTGCTCTCCTGGGAAGGCAAACCCCAGTGACTGCACTGACAGATGATGGGGGGGATATATCTGCACTCACTCTGATCCAAGATCAATTCCAGAAGCTTGGCATCTTGTTCATCAACTCTCCTACAAACACACAACCCCCCCCAACCCAGTGCTGCTGTTTTTGTTAACGCTTCCCAGGTAGGTTTCTTTCTGTTGCAGTTTATTTCTTGTACAAGTCGTTTTCTTGACTCACAACTGAAGATTACCCTGTTGCTTAATTTATTTGGTGATTAATTTGGCACTGTGGGCAGATGTGATGTAAAGCTCTTTACCATTCCAGGGTGAGATGGAGGCAAGCAATCTGCACCCAGGAGGTTTAACGAGGCATCCATCCCATGGGAGTGGAGACACTTTAATTTAATTAAAGGGAACATTTTGTACCGGACTAAAAAGATTATTTTCTTGACTAAGACATAAATATTAGTTTTCTTAAAGGGAAATACCCAGATAAATAAAAAAATTTCTGTTTACCACTTATACTTTGCTGAGCGAAAATAACGTTGATTTCTAGTTTGAAGAGAGAACCAAATTTCTGTCAGCATTCATGTGGCCAATTAAGCAATGCCAAGATGCTGGTTGGATTGCTGGTTTCAATGTGTACCTTATGCTATTGAGGTAATTTAAGTAAATGTTTATATTAGCTTTAACACGTAATACAGCATTTCCTGGTGTTCCTTTTGTCCTGGTCTTCAGCTGTGTCTGATCTCTCACGGGGGAGGAGGAGTAAAACCTTTGGGTTTCCAGGTATTATTCCCAGAAGTGTCCTTTTTAAAGCAGAAGCAGTGGAAGGCAGTGGGGGTGTTGTCACAGCAGAGGTACCTGGAGCAGCACAAGGGCACCGGGGCCATCCCATTCCATCACCTCGGGATGTGCCCAAAAATCCCTTTGGCACCCCTGGCCTAGAGGTCCCTGCAGGGGCAGGTTCAGCCCTCAGAGGCAGCTCTGGTGTCTCAGCCCTGCCACAGGCGCTGACAGAGCCCGGGGCCACCTGAGGGCCCACAGAGCTGCCCCTGGGAAGTGTCTCCTGTTTCCTCCTTTGCAGGGCGCCCTTCCCACAGCTCACAGAATGGTTTGGGTTGGAAAGAGACCTTGAAGATCCTCTTGTTCCAACCCCTCTGCCATGGGCAGGGACACCTTCTACTAGCCCAGGTTGCTCCAAGCCCTGTCCAGCCTGGCCTTGAACGCTTCCAGGGATGGGGCAGCCACAAATTCCCTGGGCAAACTGTGCCAGTGCCCCACCTTCACAGGGAAGATTTTTTTCCCAATATCCCATCTAACCCTGCCCTCTGTCAGTGTGAAGCCATTCCTCCTTGTCATGCCACTCTGGATCCCTGTAAATAGACTGTCTCCATTTTTCTTGTCGGCTCCTTTCAGACACTGAAAGGCCACAATCAGGTCACCCTGAAGCTCCTCCAGGCTGAATAATCCCAACTCCCAGCCTTTCCTCCCAGCAGAGCTGCTCCATCCCTCTGACCATCTCGGTGCCTCCTCTGGACTCGCTCCAGCAGCTCCATGTCCTTCCTGTGCTGGGGATGCCAGAGCTGGAGGCAGCTCTGCAGGGGGGGTCTCACCTGAGCAGGGCAGAGGGGCAGAAACACCCCCCTGGCCCTGCTGGGGACGAGCCCAGGCTACCGTCGGCTTCCTGGGCTGCGAGCGCACACGGCCGGGGCCCGTCCAGCCTCTCCCCGGGGCCCGTCCAGCCTCTCCCCGCCCGCCACCGCCGCGCTCCCCGCTCCATCCCCGCTCCATCCCCGCTCCATCCCCGCCGGGACCCGCCCAAGTTTCTCCCGCTCGCCGGGCGCGGGCGCTGCTCCCCCGCTGCCGCCCGGGGCCGATCGCGGGTGTGACCGCGGCGGCCGCGCCAGGTACGGGAGGGAAGGGATGGGAAGCGATGGGAAAGGATGGGAAAGCATGGGAAAGGAAGGGAAGGAATGGGAAAGGATGGGAAGGGAACGCGCGGCCCCGGCAGCGCCCACCCTTCCTCCGCCCCCCAGCCCGCGCAGGTCGCACCCGCGCTTTGCATAACCACGCCCACCTCATGAATACGCGCGAGGCCACGCCCCCCCCCCTCCGGTGCGCCCGCGGTGGGAGGGGGCCGGGAGCCGCGGGAGCGCGCAGGGAGCCGCGGGGGCGCGCGCGCCGCTTCCCTCCCCCCCCCTTCCCCGCCCGCCCCGCCCTCCGCGCGCGCTCCCGCGGAAGAGGCGGCGGCGGCGGCGGCGCGCGCGGGGGGGGGGGGGCGGGGGGGGGGGGGGGGGGGGGGGGCGGGGGAGTGGCCGGCGGGCGCTCCCCGGGGAGGCCGCGGCGAGCAAGGACGGAGGGACGGACAGACAGACAGACGGACGGACGGACGGACGGACGGACGGACGGAGGGGGCGCTGCGGCGGGCGGGCGGTGAAGGAGCCGCCGCGGCGGCGCCGCCGGGGAGGGGCGAGCCCGGCCGCCCCCCTCCCCTCCCCTCCCCTCCCCTCCCTCCCCTTCTCCTGCCCGTCCCCTCCCCTTCGGGCGCGCGCTCGCCCCGGCGGCGGCGGCTCCCGGCGATGCGGTGAGAGGAGCGAGGCGAGCAGGGAGGGAGGGACGAGCAGCCGCGCTCGGTGAGGGGCCGCCGGCAGCCCCCCCCCCCCCCCCCCTTCCTTCCCCCCGCGCCAGGTAAGGACCGGCGGGACACCGGGGGGGGCGAGTGGGAGCGTGCGGGTGTCCCCCCGTGGGTACGGGCTGCGGGGGGGACACGCTCGGGGTGGCGCCCGGCGATGTGTCGGGGTCGCGGAGGGGAGGGGGGGGGGGTCGTGGGGAGACCCCACCGCGGGCGGGGAAAGGGCTGGGGCGGGTGAGGGGTCCCTCCCCGCGCCCCCCATCCCCCCGGGGCTGGAGGTGCCTCGCTGACACCGCTCGGGATGCGGCGAGCGCCGGGAAAGGCGCGGTCGGTCGCGAGTCCCGTCGTTCCCGTCCCCCCCCCCCAAAATTCCGTCTTTTCAATGGGCAGCCGCCCGTTTTGTTTGGAAGCGGAGAGCGGCGCGGAGGTGAGCGGGGCCGGCGGGTCGGGGGGTTCATCCCGCCCTGCGGAACTGTCCCCGCCGGCCCTCGCCCCGCGATTCCCGGGAGGTGCCGCAGGTACCGCACACGTGAGCCCAACACACCCCGCGCTCGCCCCAACACACCCCGCGCTCGCCCCAACACACCCCGCGCTCGCCCC